TTCACAATCCCCATCCAAACAGCACCAAATTGCAAAAAGCTTATGCTTTTCACTTAAAAAACTCCTGTATAACAATATTTGCATAGCAGTTAGCATAAAATATTATAAAATCAATGGCCTATACAAAAAAATGTCATAAACCGTAAAGCATGCAGGACTTTTGCACACAGCGGTATATAATGCAACTCCACCTCCTCTTTTGTTAGTTCTGTTTCTTTTTGACTAGTTTGTATCCTTCCATCAGTACATTCCAGTCATGGGTTTCATCCCAGCAAGTTTCAGTAATGGCAACTACATCATATCTGCCTTCATGTATTAATGAAGTGTGTAGTGTGTCTAAACCTAGAATAGAGAGTTACAGATACCATGGTAGGATGAATTAGGGAAAGAGGGTCTTGTATTTATTAAGTTATCTTAAAATACTTTAAGTTGGCTTTTCTTAATTAAAAGCACTGAAATATTGAACTGAGTGATATGTGAAGCAGTTGTTTATTTCCACCTAATTGGTGAACTTAAATCACAATACATAACTAAAAATAGAGACAAGATGATAAATAAAAATTTAGTTGATTTTTCTAATCACTTAATTATCCTAAAAAGAGTAGTATCTTTTGACCATGTGATGCTACACTCTAGAGAAAAGCTTGTTAACATCTTCCTGCCAAATGCCTCATTTTTGTTGCCCTCTTTGCAAATTGGATTCCCAAAGTGATTTGATTGCGAGAGTATGAACCATGATGCTCAAACAAGCAAAAAAAAAGTGTTTAGTCTTGATGCAAAACAAAACCCCTGTGTTTTATGTCCCTATCCTGTACTCTTAGCAATTTCCTTGATTGATGACTATTTTGTTTATTGTACTACTGATTAGCACAGCATTCAGAAAATAATTTATTGGGTGTTCAAAAACCCCACTAAATTTTTAAAAATAGAGTAATAAGCAAAGAGTACCAATAGAGGGAATATTAGTATGTTGTGGAGTCTGTTCTGCACAGATGTTTCATAACTGGCTCTTTACAGCCAGGATCTTCTCTGAACAGCAGCTATGGAAACTTTGCCTTGAGAGTCACATCAATTTTCTGTACTCATCCTGTCTTGGAGGCTACTGCCCAAAGCTGTAAGAATTCTTAGTAAAACAATAATCTCTTACAATCCAATAAAATTAACAGAAAAAAACTTTTCAATACTTTGCAAAAACCAAACCAAACCGTGTTTTTTAAGGTGAAGAACTCCATGTTATAATTACATATACAACCCTCCACTTCAGCCTCAGCTTTTCTGTTATGACGTATTTTATTTCTGAAAGAAGAGATTATTAGTCATTCACATGAATTCTACAGATTCATATGAAGCTAACCTGCATTTATGTAGGAAAGTAGGAATTTCCATGGTGGTGCAGTGATTAGCACCCATTTTTGTAGGCTACTTGTGCTGACTGCTGGTTGCCAGCAGTTTGGCAGTTCGAGTCTCACTGGCTCAAGGTTGACTCAGTCTTCCATCCTTCCGAGGTCAGTAAAATGAGGATCCAGATTGTTAGGGGCAGTATCTGACACTGTAAACCACTTAGGGAGGGCTGTAAAGCACTGTGAAATGGTATATAAGTCTAAGTGCTATTGCTATATTGCTAAGGTCCTATGCTTTTTATAGTTTTAAAGTCTATAACCAGCTTTTGAAGTCACACCAGGCATAGACCAGTAACATGTGCAACTGATGTAGCTTGAAGTTCTACATTATTTTCTTCAGACACCTGCATTCTCGTATAGAACTAACATGCAATATATAGATCCCTTATACAAATTTGCAGTGCTTTTGTAACGCTGGTTGTCCCTTTGTTTAGGCCTTATTTCTGCTGATGAATTCCGCCAAACATGGAAACTCTTTAATGCACATGTGAAGAATGATGTGAGTGATGAATCCATTGACAGTTTAGCTCGCACCATGGATTTTAATAAAGATGGTAGCATTGACTTCAATGAATTTCTGGAGGCTTTCCATATGGTACATAAATTTAGTTAAAATTATCAGCTTTCTTGAAGAACCAACTAGTTGGAGAAATCCCTTCTTTATATATTTATGTTTTATAAAACATGGTAAATTTGTTAATGAGAAATAAAAATATAGACTGGTCAAGATGACAAGGAATAATTTAAGTGATTTAAATAATATCATATTTTAATTTTATTATTTTGAATCTTCTTTATAAACAGATTTTATACAAGTTACAGATATTTATTGTTTTTCCTAAGTTGGTGTCTTCAAGATTTATTGATTTTCATCTTCCATAATTCTTAGCACAAGCATTACTCATACTGTTGAGATAATGCTTAGCAAGAGATATGAACCATGGACATCTTACCTTTGTTCTTCTCTGATGAGTCATAAACTGACATATCATCTTCATACAGTTCTCCCTGTGTATTCTTATGGCATGTAAAATTGAGAAATTACAGTATATATTATAGAATAGCTAGAACTTATTTTAATTACAGAATATTGATGACAGGAGGCATGAAAGATTAGTAGTTCTACAAGTATAAGCATTTTTTTTTTACTATAGCTGTTTAATAATTTGACATGTAAGAAATTACAAACATATAATTTTTGCTGCATCCAAGTATGAACCTATTTAATCATATCTATAGTGCCATCAACAATAGGAAGCCCACAGGCAAAAAGTGATGGAAGATAATAGATGATCCTGTATGACGGTTAATAACCTTTTAAATCCATCAACTGATCATGTTTATACAACAAATTTCATATTTCAATTGTAATTGTATAAAATTTTCCTTTTTCTACATTTCTTTACTGGATATCTCCCTCCCCACTTTTTCTATACTATGTACCATATTTTTCGGACCATAAGATGCACCCCCCCCCCAAAAAAAGTGGGTGGAAATGCATTTTATAGAGCAAATATTGCAGTGGGGGAGGGGGGTTGGGGCAGTGCCAATCAGCTTTCTAGGTGGTGGGGATCGCCACTGCCCGTTCATCGCCGATCACTGTGTTATCACCAGTGAATGGGCGGCGGCAATCCCCATTAGAGGTGGTGATGGCGACGAACAGGTGGTGAATGGGCTGTGGTGAACTGGCCACAGTGAACCGGCCACTGAAAGGGTGGTGGCAGGGACAAATGGGTGGGAGTGGTGGCGAATGGGCTTGTGGTGGCGGCGGCAGCTTTTCCCCTCTCTTCTAAAGCTAATGTGCGTGATATAGTCCAAAAAATATGGTACATCTTATCTCTTTTAGTATCTTTTTTTCTGAATTAAGAAAACAGATGTAGACATGGCAGCAGTTCCTCACTGAAGAGTTTCTTTAGTCCCTGCAAGATACTGAGATGAACTCACTAAAGAGAGAACTACACACCCCAATTATCCTGGCACTTTAACTATACTCAGCAATAGAATCAATGCATTGTTCAATTTGCCTTCCTGGAATTACTTCCCTTAAATATTGTTTTTCCTTGGCTGCTTTTATGTTTTTAAAAATGACTGTGGTTTTCATACAGCACAAGTAAAATATATTTTGCTCTTGAACTGTTACAATTCTTCCTGAAAGAAGTCGCTTCCAAAAATTGGCTAAATAAATGAATAAATGAATGAAGCTGGACCCTGCTATAAAGAAGAGGAGTTGGAATGGAGTGGAAGGAGAAGAGGAGAATAATTTCCGAAGGCATGTGGGTGGGGGAAAGGTCACTTTTAGATCTTCAGGGTACAAATCCTGTGAATACTATAGTTACTAGGAATGTAGGGACTATAAGATTTCTGCCCTAGAAACTTGGATAATTACTCTTCATCTTCATCTCTGAAGATAGCCAAAGAGCTCATTTTTAAAAAATGCTAATTTATGTCGCCTGCAATGGTGCAACCCCTTATTTTTTTTTTTGGCATTTCTCTAACCCCTTTTAAAATAATTTATTTTAAAAACACCATTTGTGGTATGTAGGTGCTGTTAATCCTGGAGCTGAAATGTGTGTTGCCATTTTTAATTGTAGTTATTTTTTATGCATATTATTTCCTACTTCTTTCAATATGCTGTATGGGAATTAACAGTGCTTCAAGCTTGCCACATCTGGTAGCAAGAAGGGGGGTAGGAAAGATAAGGGGATTGTTATGGCTAGGTGGCTTAATTTCCCATGAGAACGTGCCTGCAGATGGTGGAAGGTGGAGTTTAGCATCATCGGACTGATGGACTATGAACTGATTGGAGAATGTGACTCTGGAGAGGATATTTCTAATATATATATATAGGGCGTAATTCCGGAGGATAGCCAGATCCAGAATTACACCGAGACCTTGCCAATTTGATGTGTTCCTAATAAAAAGACTTTGTTGGAATATGCCTGCCTTGAACTGTTTTTATTGGGGACATGTTACTTGGAAGCTTGACAGGTGCTCTCTAACTGTTACAGCCAGGTAAATGCCTGGATCTACGATGATTCAGACTTAATTCATGAATTAATCCAGTTTGATCTAGGTGATGAATTTTAAAAAAAAATGTTTAGTAAATAATATAAATTTCTAACTCCTTGTTGATACTTTATATGAAATCTATTAATTTTTAAAGCAAATTTTAGTAATAGTCATACAATATGAGGAATTTTCAAAACTTCACGAAGCATACTGAAATACTTGCTATTAAGTCTCATATCATGGGGCTTGAATTTATATGATGCAGCTCCTTGATTAAGGTAGCAAATTTGTAATTAATATCTGCAGCGTAGATATCTGAGAACCACTTTCACTTCCAAAATGGAAAAAAGAGAAATATAATTAATAATCTCCATACTTACTCTGTGAAAAAGAAATACTAGAGGCATTACTGTCATTTTGGATCACACTTGAGTTTTGACTTCAAATGCTGCAGAAGCATTTTATGACATTACTAAACCTGATAGCTATCCAAGCAGTGACAGAAGAAACACTGTCAGTAGCAGTGACGTGCGGTGAGCTTCATGCCCAGTGAGGCAAGCATGAAAGCCCCGCCGAAGCCCCGGCGCGCGTCCGCCATAGAGCGGGACCCACACCGGCCATGAAGCTCACCACACATCACTCGGCAGTTCAAACTCTGCTCTGCAGCCCAAACTTTCTCCTCCCAGCAACTTGGCCTGTTGGACACAGTGGTGGCGGGGGGAGGAATGGGCTGGCTGGCTGGGGAGGGGGGAGCCCTTTAAAGCTCTGCTGCCGCATCTTCCCAGCAAGACTTCCCTTCGGCTCACAGTTTCCCTTGCCTGCCTTAACTAAAGCTTGGCGCCCTGTCTCTGCTTCCACTCTCCCTCCCTCAGCTGTGCAGCAGCGTCGGCGGCAGCTCTCGGCCTACGGCAGCAGCGTCGCACAGGCTGTGGAAGGAGGAGAAAGAGGAGGGAACTGAAGAGAGCCTCAAGCCGCGTTTCTTCCTACAAAGGTTGCCTTCCTTTGGGCATCAGGCAGAACTCTCGGGTTGCCCAAAGGGCTTTGCAGGAAAAAACATGGCTTGAGGCGCAAGGACGGTCCTGACTGTTGGGCACAGGCCCGGTAAAAGCCTCTCTTGGTTCCCTCCTCCTCCTTCCACAGCCTGCGTGATGCTGCTGCTGTAGGCCGAGAGCTACTGCCGACGCTGCTGCACAGCTGAGGGAGGGAGAGTGAAAGCAGAGACAGGGCGCCAAGCTTTAGTTAAGGCAGGCAAGGGAAACTGCGAGCCGAAGGGAAGTCTTGCTGGGAAGACGCGGCAGCAGAGATTTAAAGGGCTCCCCCCTCCCCAGCCAGCCAGCCCAGTCAGCCCATTCCTCCCACCACCACCACTGTGTCCAACAGGCCAAGTTGCTGGGAGGAGAAAGTT